ATATAAATTGTCCTCTGAGGACTGCCTTTGCTGTGTCCCAAAGGTTTTGGTATGATGTGTTTTCATTCTTGTTTAATTCTAGGAATTTTTTGATTCCATCTCTGATTTCTTCTATTACCCAGTGGTTTGTAAGCAGGGGGTTATTCAGTTTCCATGTAATTGATTTTCTTTCCTTGCTCTACCTGTTGTCAATTTCTACCTTGATGGTGTTGTGGTCAGAGAAGATACTTTGCATTATCTCAATAGTTTGGATTTTGTTAAGGGTTGCTCTGTGACCTAAGACGTGGTCTATTGTGGAGAACGTTCCATGTGTGTTGGAAAAGAATGGGTACTTTGCAGGTGTTGGGTGGAGTGTTCTGTATATGTCTATGAGGTCAAGTTGGCTGATTGTGCCCTTTAGGTCTTCTGTATCTGCTGAGTTTCTTTCTAGATGTTCTGTCCTTTACCAAGAGTGGTGTGTTGAAGTCTCCTACTATTCCTGTGGAACTGTCAGTTTCTCTTTTCGGTGCTGTTATAGTTTACATATTTTGGAGCCTTGTCGTTGGGTGCGTAGATGTTTATTATGGTTATGTCTTCATGATGGATAGTTCCTTTAATCACTATATAGTGTCCTTCTTTGTCTTTTATGGTGGATTTTGTTTTATAGTCTATTTTATCTGAGATTAGTACTGCCACTCCTGCTGTTTTTTGGTAGCTGTTTGCTTGATATATTTTTTTTCCATCCTTTGATTTTTAATAAATTTACATCTTTGTTTCTAAGGTGTGTCTCTTGTAGACAGCATATTGACGGATCCTGTTTTTTTAATCCATTCTGACACTCTCTGTCTGATTATGGGTGCATTTAGGTAAATGGTAAATTTTTTGCTATGTGTAGTTTACCACTATAAAGTTTTTCTTTTTTTATTACTGTACTTCAGCTGAAGGTTTACAGAACAAAGTACCTTCTCATTAAACAATTAGTACACATTGTTTTGTGACATTGGTTAACAACATCACTGCATGTCAACACTCTCACTTCTCGACCTTGGGTTCCCTATTACCAGCTTTCCTGCCCGC